AGCACAAGGTCCCAAGTTTGGTCCCTGGTAAAAAAAAAAAAAAGGAAAGATTTGTGTTGGTTCATGGTGTCAGAGGTTTCAGTCCATGGTCACTGGTCCTTCGTTGTCTGTGATGGCGTAGGTTGTTGAGCTTGGCACATGCCTAGCTGGCCACCTCAGAGCAGCTGGGAAACAAGAGAGGAAAGGGCTGGGATCCTGGAATCCCTATCAAGGGGATCCCGGGGGACACAGCTTCCTTACCCTAGGCCACACTGTGTGAACTTTATCACCTGCTGGGATCAAGCCTTTGGCCCCCCAGGGCTTTGGGGAACATTCTAGGTCCAAACTTGGGGCGAGTGAAACTGTCTGAAGACGAGGGTGGAAGAGCCGGGGAGCAGGAGCGCCCAGCCTGCACAGAGGTCCTCCCGGCCCTTGGCTGCCTGCTCAGACCCCCAGGAAAGACCTCAAGGTTTCCAGCGGGAGATGACAGCAGCCATTTCAGTTCCGCCCCCGCCAGGGAGGACAGACTTTGAAATCTGCGATTACCCACATTCACTTAGAGCAAATAGGGCTCTTCAGCAGAAATTGAAGGATCCAGAGTCCCCACACTGTATCGTTCATAGCATCCAGCGGCCAATAAAATAATCATCCAACTTGTAAAGAAACAGGAGAAAGTGAGTCATGCTCAGGAAGAAACAGAGTCCATAGATGCTGTCCTTAAGATGACCCAGATGTGTCAGTTAGCAGCTCTCTTACTCAGGGTTCAACGGGGAAACACATCCAGAAGGTATAGATACAGAAGAGGGATTTGTTATGTGACCCGACTTACACAATTGTAGAAGCCTGAAAGCTCCCAGCTGTGCTGCTTTCGAGGGGGGGGGGTCAGCTGTGAGATTCAGCCTGAGTCCACAGGCCTGAGAACCCAGGGACAGTGTTGTAACTCCCAGCCCATTGCCAGAGGCCTGCAATCTGGTGGGAAACAGGGGTCAGGGTGCTGGTGGATGTCCTAAAACACAAGGGCCCAAGAACAAGGAGTTCCAGAGTCCAGGGCAGGAGAAAATGACCATCCTAGCTCCAGAAGAGAGAGAGAAATCATCAGTTTTTCTCCCATGTCTGGGCCCTGGGTAGACTGGATTCAGCCCACACCCTAGGGAGAGCAGGCTCCGTTCCCCATGTTCAGACAGCCCCTTCATAAACACACAGACTCGCCCAGAAACAGTGTTTTTTTTTGCCAGTTATCTGGGCACCCATAGCCCAGCTGGTTGACAGAAAAGTAACCATCACAGCAGATTTATAAATATGGCCAAAGACTTAGAAGAAAGTAGGACAAATGAACAGATGGGGAGACATGGTGGAAGAATACAAATTATTTAAAAAACATCCAAGGAAACTGGAGGTGAGGTATGCATGCTGTCTGAAGTGAGCAATCACTGGATCAGCTCCATCAAGATGTGCAGATGGTAGGAGGAGGAGGAGGAGGAGTCATTCAACTTGATGATAGCTCCCTGGGAGTTATATGCTTTAAATAACAGAGAAGCAATTTGGAGAAAATGAAAAGAGCCTCAGCTGGGCGTGGTGGCACCTGCCTCTAACCCCAGGTTACAGGGAGGCTGAGGCAAGAAGATTTCAAGTTCAAGACCAACCTCAGCAACTTAGTGGATTAACAAAACCCCATCTCAAAACAAGAAATAAAAAAAGGTTTTGGCCTTCAACGTACTGTAACACAAACAAAAAACAGAACAGAGTCAGATTTGTGGCGATCAGTATTAAGTAGTCTAAAACAAGCGTGTTGTGTGTTCCAGAAGAAGAAAGAGTGAAGGAGGTAAGGAGGGGTAAAAACACTCATAAAAAGGCCAATAAATTGTTCCTAAAACTTTCAGAATGAAACTACAAAATGTTGCCTACACTAAGACTAAACAAGTGTATACTATGTTCATGGATCGGTAGTGATAGGAAAAGTCCGTTCTCCTCAAACTGCTGATTCAGCCCACTTCCTGTTGTGAGCTCAGCAGACTTTGCTTTTTTCAGAAATTGATAAAGTGATTTTCCAAAGCTTATGTGAAAATGCAGAAGGCCTTAAAATCGGGTAAACAATTTCGTGAAGAACACAGCTAGAGGATTTATACCACCCGATCTCAAGACTTTCTGTAAACTAAAATAACAGTGGTGCTTACATAAGGGTCAGTGGATAAATGGGTCAGTGGATGAGAAACTGTAGAGAGTTCCAGATAGATTCATGTGAGGTCATTGGGGTTTTGTCCAAGATATCCAAGAAACCTAGTGGGAAAAGGAAAGTTTTTGACAAGTTATCCTGGAACAGCTGGATATTCCTGTGGGGAGAAGTGCTGCACCCCTACCTCATGCCATGCACACAGCTAATTTGAGATGAACCAGAGCCCCGGACAAACACTGAAAGTGCACAGCTCTTAGAAGAAAATGTAAGACAAAAATTTTTGTTTTCTTTCAAATCATGAAAACTTTTTTATGTTTCGTGATGTGAAAGAAAACAAAGATTTTTTAACAGAGACTGCGTGAAATTGTAAATGAATGCGTGCCCAGACGCACAGAGAGGATGAATTGCTATGCTAGAGCCGGCAGGGGAGGGGAATCAAAGCCTGTACAACAGTGCTTGGTCCACAATATGCCAAGAACTCATAACGCAATAAGAAAGGAACCAAGCCCGCCTTTTAGAGGTGGACAGAAGGCTCAGGTAGAGCTGTCCTGAAGGAACAGTGAGCATGTAGAAGAGCTTCTCAGCGTCACTCAACTTAAAGCCCCAGCAGGGATCCACCGTGGCCGACCCACTCCAGTGCCTGAGTGGAAAGGACTAACAGGGACCAGAGGACCCGGAGCCTCTGGTACCTTCGTACACTGTGGGCGGGGAGCAGATGCTGCAGCCACTTGGGGAAAGCTCTGGGCATTTATTTGCCAGTTGTGCTTCTGGGAGATGCTGTTCCCACAGGAATTGAGAGCATTTGTTCCCACCTGTGTGTACCACGTGCCCACACACGCGTGCACCTGTACCATGTGGCACACACGCATGCACACTCAAGACCTCAATGCTCATACAGTGGCTTTATGCACAGTAACCTGTACTTGGAAGTGGAGAATGAATCTCAAACCGTTCTCCCTCCGACGCCCTCGTCCTCAGCGCTAGCAGCCACTGGTGCAGGCCACCGTGTGTCTAGGGCCTCAGAACCCACACGGAGAAGACAGGCACAGCAGGAGTGCGGCATGGTGCCCCTGGCAGTGCCCACCAGGCAAAGTCGGTCCCCTGTGAAGGTCGGACAGGAGGGAAGTGACAGGGAGGGGCGGCCACGGGGGAGGGCGAACTTCCAGGAGACGAGAACCCTGCCATACGGGGTGGGTCACACCGGCCAAGGTGGCTCTCTTTGTAAACCTTCATGGAAGTGCCGTGGAGACTGCTGCCTAGCACCCTGAGTGTGCTTGCATTCGTGGGTCCTGGGTGGTTCAGGTGTGTACCAGACGTGCAGTCAGCCCGGTGCCCTCCCTGGCCTTGAACTCACGCATGAATTGTCTGTCTGGGAGCTGTCTGGTCTCCTCAGTCCTCCTCTTGTCCCGGTTCCACAGGGTCGGAATTCCCGATGGGGCTGGGTAAGGTCTGGGGCGCTGGCACAGTTGAGGAGTCTAGGCCCCCAGTGTCATGGGCTGTGCTCTTGGGGGCAGCAACTAGAGGCAGGAGAGGTGACTTACGGCATCACAGGGCCCAGGGCAGGTGCCAAACCCACCTGGGGGTGGATCTCCCGGACCCCGCCCCAACCCGTGTGGATTCCTGGGAGGCCGCACCCCGGGGCATGGGCTCTGCGATGGCAGCTGCTGTGCACTCCACGACGGTGCCCACCTGTGGGTCGGTCATTTCCCAGGCTGTCTAGGTGCCCGATGCAGGCCCTGGCATGCGGAGGCTGGGAGGTGGCTGGGCAGCTCTTCGTGTCCATCACTGCCCCTTGCTGGCTCTGTCCCCTGGCCGGGTCCCAGCCCCACACCTGGAGTGCTGCGGGTGGTGCGGCATGGTTGTCCTCTTGCACCTCGGTCCTCTGGTCCTGCAGGGCCCTTCCTTGTGAATGCTCCTCCTCCGAAGTCGAACTTCGCTGATCTGACCCAAACCCTCCTGAGGATGTGGCGCTGTGTCCCAGGCTGAAGTCTGGGCGGGTCGGGGGCATCTGCTTGGTGGGGGGTCTTTGGGGGTCCCTGACCTGTGTTACTGCTCTTCTCTGTTCCTCCTTGGCCCTGGTGGCAGGTCACAGAGAACAGTGTTCCTCGGCCATGCCTTCCAGAAGTGACTAGCCCAGCCTCACCTCGGGGAGGGCACCTGGGCCTGAGCCACCACACTGCCTGGCCCTGGACCTCGGGGTGGTATCCTGGGTGGGGCAGGACAGTGCCAGGTAGATTGGGCCATCAGTTGCTGAGCAGTGCTATGGGCCAGGTGTGGAGTCCCAGGAAGGAGGGAGGCTGCTTGGTCCCGGGGCTGGTCACTCCCAGGACTGGCAAGGTGCCCAGGGTGAAGGAGTGGGCCATGCATCAGCCAGGGTCCCGTAAGGCCTCTGGCAGGCGGTGGCCATGACCTCAGTCCTGTAGGTAGAGGGGAGCCTGGGGGACTCGCGTCTCAGCTAGGGTCCTACCAGCTCCCATGTGTCAGAACCCAGGTGGGGTCTCCCTGGTGCCGGTGGAAGGCACAGCCTGGATCCTGTGTCCTGTCCGCTCTGGCTCCTGGCCAGCTGTTCAGAAGCCCTCTGCCTGTGGCCCTGTCCCCGTCCCTCACCCCTGGGCCTCAGGATGGCGCGGGCCGCAGGCCAAGGCAGGAGGCAGGAGTGGAGGAGATTCTGGGGAAGCAGGGGTCTCGCTGGCCCTGGCCTCTTGCCATGTCCGCAGCGTTTGCCTCAGCAGGTCCTGGAGGCCGGGGTGGGTCCCAGGTGGCAGCCTCCCGAGCCCCTGTAGGAGGAGCCGGAGGCTGAGGCGGGCGAGCCTACCGGGTGGCCTCCAGCTCACCTGCTCCCCCACAGTGAACATGACCTGGGCGAGGACATCTACGACTGTGTCCCGTGCGAGGACGAAGGGGACGACATCTACGAGGACATCATCAAGGTGGAGGTGCAGCAGCCCATGGTGAGCTGGCCCCCGACACCCCGTGTGCAGAGGGACATGGGGTTGTGCCTGGGCCTCCTCGTCCCCAGGAGGCTCCCCTCAGAGCTCCCTGCCCGGATGTGGCCCGGGACCTTCCAGTCGGGCTGCCGCGGAACCTTCCCTTAAGTGTGCAGGGTTCGCATCCCGCCTGAAGCAGTTGCTAGGCCTCCGCCAATGCTGCACAGCTCATTCTGCCCCTTTGTGTGGAGCACGAAGAGCCCAGCGTGGGCGCAATTAGCCAGCTGCGTCTTTTGTGCTGCGAGGAAGTTTAGTTCCGCACAGGCGTTTGTAATACTCTCTTGGACGCCGGTTTGCTTGGTGTGGGTTGATTGCCAACAGCTGCTTGGGGGAGGTGGGGTCCGGCTCCCGTAGGGGGGCACAACCCCCTCGGGCCCCCAAGCTCCCCAGGGTGGGTGTGGTGTCCCTTGCCAACAGTAGAGGCTTTGATCGGTTTGCATTCCTGGAAGACATGGGAAATTTCTTGAAAAGCAAATAGTTTTCTTTTAGGGCTGAGGGGATCACCAGCAGTGGCGGAGAAACAGGAAGCTAGGGGAGACCCTGCAGAGGGGAGGCCTGCAGGGGTCTCTCAGCCCTCACTGTCTCCCCTCCACAATAGGGGTCTCGTTTTGCCCTGTAAAATCTGAAGATGCCCCACTCTCTGCAGAGCCCGGGAGCCCTACAGGGGTGTCTGCTCCCCAGTCCCCCAGTGTGGTCTGGACGGACCCCTCCCCAAGCTGTCCCCAAAGGGCCCACAGGACCCCAGCAGGCCTCTGGTGGAGCTGCAGCTTGGTGCCAGGCAGTCCACAAACACCCGTCAGCCCCTGTGGGTGATGTGAGCACACAGGGTTAGTGGCCTCTGTGGAATTTGGGGCTCCCCACCCCCAGGCTGTGCATGATTTCTCAGAGACCCCCACCTGTGCCTGGCCAGACCGTAGTGGGGCGCTCCGCTCCTGGGGGCGGCTGCTGCCTCTGGCCCTGACGCACAGGCAGAGGACATGGGTGATTTGCCCAGCCTGCCAGGGTGGGCTGGCTCTCCCCTGCCCCGGGCCTGGCCGGGTCCTAGGGTCCAGGCACCCAGCCTTTCCTGTCCAGCTCAGTGGGGCCTCCGCTCCCTGCC